GTGCTGAGTGACACACATAAAAAAGGGAAATTTGTTTCCATTAACGAATCAATAGTTTACATTTAGTGACAATATCACAAACTGCCATGAGAGTGGGTTTCACATTATGTGCAGTGAGAAGCACTTCACATAAATACATAAAAGAAACAAGGTTATTTTTATGCTTTCATTTTATTAAACAGTTTGTTTAAATTGCAGGTATTAAACTCAATTCCCGGAGGGCCAAAACTCTGCAGAGTTTAGCTCCAACTCACTCCTGTTTGGAAGTTTCTAGTAATCCTGAAGACCTTGATTAGCTGAATCAGGTGTGTTTGATTAGGGCTGGACCTAAACTGTACAGAGCTGTGGTCCTCCAGGAATTGAGTGTGAAACCAGTGATTAAAATGTTAAGCAACAACACACTAATGTAGATTTAACAATTACAACGTTTACAAATGCACGTACAGAAAACCCTTTATCAAAATACACTAACACCAAGGAAACCAATTATTATTGTATTCTTAATTAGTTCCCCACTTCATAATAAGTTCAACACAACAATCGGTTAATTGTCAATTGGCTGATAATTAGTAATTGCCTACTTGTTATCTAAATTATCAATTGTAATTGCCTGTTTTGCAAAGCATACTTTGCTCAAGGATATAATCAAATAAAAGCTACTAGAACACGTGCTGTAAAATTTCCAAAATGAGTAAGAAACAAACAAAAGCAAACACTCAAGCTCCACAGTCCTTATGTGGTTATATTCATGCAGTGACTCCTGTCACACTATCCAGATGAAATTTCAAATACTTCAATGCAACCTTCCAAACACAAAGGGATGTGTTTCACCACACAGTCATTTTTGCAGCAGAGCAACATATCATGTGGTCCACCACAGCAAAAAATGGCACGGCAGTCAAGCTGACAAACACAACAAACAAACCAGGTACGTACAGTTCAAGCCTATCAATCTGTTTATCTATTTATCTATAATCTCTATTAATAACATACTCTTGTTTTGTTTTTCCAGACCCCAACAGCAAAAGCTTTTCCATTCACTGTGATAGAAACACCGTAATGGAAGTTATAGATGTGAACTTTCCACATAAACCTCCAATCGAAACACAGCTGATGTATGTTGAAGACATCAAATTGTTGGGTCCAAAGCAACATGTAAGTTTTCATGTAATTTAAGCTTTTTTTTTATTTTTTTTTATTTTTATGAACCTGATTACGCAGACAAGGTTTAAGCCTAGGCCCAGACTAAAATGCATATTTGAGCTGTCTTTACTGAGAGCAATTTGCACTGCAAAACATGTCAGTGCCAATTTCTCTCAAGATGCACAAATATTATTATTATTATTATTATTATTATAATTATAATAGGGACATTTGAAAAGCTACTTAAATATCCTCGGATAACTTAGACCTACTCATGGCTTAATCTAAGTCTCTTAATCCTGGTTCCAGTATTTTGTTTTTGTTGTTTGGCTTGAATATACTGACTGCCACTGATGGCTCATTTACTTGCTTTTTATGTAAACAACCCTGAAACCAACTATACATCTTTTGCATTTCAGGTGACCAAACTTCAGGCAACTGTGGTGAAGGTAAACCCACCAACAACAGTCAATGCCTGGGACACAGCATGTGAAATAAAAGAATGCTTCCTAAGAGACAAAACGGGTCAGATTATGCTTACCTTATGGGACAAACTAGTGACTCTGGTAGAACTGAACAACACGTATGAGTTTGAACATATGCAAACTAGAGCCTTCAGGGGTATCCCAACATTAACGTCTTCAAGGAGCACTATCATCAAACCAATTCAGCAAAGCAAAGTATTTCTTGCTGGTCAAGAACCAAAAGTCACAGAAGACCTTGACATCCAGACTACGAAACTGATATCAAAACCACAGGGGGCAAAAATCCAAATCCACAAACTTTGTCCAAAATGTCATCAGTCACAGCATAACTTCAATCCAAAACAGCAATTACATAGATGCACCACATGTAAAGTTCTCAGACAAGGAAAGAATTACCTGACAAAGTGCTCTGGAATCATTGAATCAGGTCTTTTCTCTTACAATATCTAATTCCATTTTGTCCAAATTCATCAGAGCTGTAATGGACTTGTCAACAACCGATGCACAAGACATTGAGGAAATGCTTTTGTCAAGTGACGACATTGTTTACATACACCAACACACTTGAAATAATTGAACTACAAAAAGCTCCAACAGACAGTGATGATGAACTTCTGGACATTACCTTTGACGACAGCTTAAGCCTCTCTCTCTTCACTGCAGATGACAACACATCGACTCAGTCACCAAAAAGACCAGCAGAACAAGCTGATGGACCATGTAAGAAAGTTGCTTAAAGTCTTCTAAAATTTATTTTTTTTATTTTTTTTTTTTTTTTCTTCATTACTTTTCTCCTTTAATACGGAAATGTTTTTGTATCAATTAGTTAGAATTAATGGAAAAAGTAACCCTGTTTTGGCTTAAAAAAAAAAAAAGTACTTTTTTACTATTAGGAAAATTGTTTTCTTAAAGTTTTGAAGCTGAATTTCCTAAATATTGCTAAATATAAAAGCAATGTGTGAATAAACATTACAATTGATGGTTTCAATGCATCTAAAAATTAAACTCTCTTGAAGTCACTCAGTACTTTTTTGTTTGTTTTTGAATGTTAAACTGTCACCCGTCCCCTCTGTGGGACATGTAAGAAAGTTGCTTAAAGTCTTCTAAAAAGTGAAATGTTTTTTTTTTTTCTTCATTACTTTTCTCCTTTAATACGGAAATGTTTTTGTATCAATTAGTTAGAATTAATGGAAAAAGTAACCCTGTTTTGGCTAAAAAAAAAAAAAGTACTTTTTTACTATTAGGAAAATTGTTTTCTTAAAGTTTTGAAGCTGAATTTCCTAAATATTGCTAAATATAAAAGCAATGTGTGAACAAACATTACAATTGATGGTTTCAATGCATCTAAAAATTAAACTCTCTTGAAGTCACTCAGTACTTTTTTGTTTTTTTTAATGTTAAACTGTCACCCGTCCCCTCTGTGGTACCCCTAAGTTTACTTCACTATATTACAATTAAATCCTAATCTAATCATCAACTATATATCGTTGGAAAGGTCTAAGACTCCTAAATGGATATTTTACCATTGTTTTTGTTAAATTATGTAGGAAAAGTAATAGATACATTTTTGACAAGAGTGCACCTCAAAAATCTACATAACAGGAGTTCTGACCTTTTGTCAAAAGCCTTTGTTGCCTTTCTCGATCACACTTTAGAAATTATATATCAATTGAAAACTTAAAATCTCAAAATTCATCCTTCGAAACCCATTTTAAAATCAAACACTGCATTACCATGAAAATGGTACATCAATATCATGTTACAAAATGTTTTTGTTCATGAATTATAAAAATGTAAGTTTGGATCGTGCACCTTCACGTCTGTTAAATGTGAGTGACCGTTAAGTTAAATACGGTTTTTGACATTTTAATATGGTCAAATTTAAGTCATAAATTTACAAGTCTTCGCATGGTGTTCGGGAAAACTGCAGCAGTTTTGTCAGTCAACAAACGCATGCACTGTCAAATTTAGAGATGCATTTCTCGGGAACTGTACCAAATATCAAAAATGCATTCAGTCAATTCTGTGTGACTTGGTCCAAATATCATATCACATCATCTTTGGGCCAAGTTACACAGAAATGACTAAACACATTTTTAATATTCACTACTGTTCCCAAAAAATGTCTCTCTGAATTTAACAGTGCATGTTAGTTAGCTTGGCATACTACTTGGTTAGCATATATTGGGGAATTTACAGTTAAAACCGAAGGACCAGGTGTGTTGAATGAAAGCCAGGAGTCAGAGGTGACATCAATTGAAGAAAAATTTACTGACGAAAATACTATAGTTTGCAATTTCATCAGCAGAAGTCCGCTTCAATACTCGAGTTCGTAGGCTGCTCTGCGTACAACTTACGCACACCAATAATTATACTCCTAACAGAGGATGCTATATGTGTCAATGCATAAGTCCGCAAAATTCTGATTGGTTCTAAAACTTAGATAAACTAAGACAATTTCCACATATGGATGTAAGTACTTCAAACCTATCTCTAACTGATTATGTAGGCATCGGTGATCCGGAGTAACACGAAATATGTGTCTCCAGACACAATGTACAATACAGTGGCAAGAAATGATGTTTCAGTTGTTTTTGTTCCACATGTTGTGCCTTTTTGAGTGATTTTGTTTAAATGGAAAAATACTACATGCATTAGCTTAGGCATCTACATAAACCCATGTCTTCACAGTGGCACAATAGGATGAATGACAGGCACCTGACCCAAACATTGTGGGTTTGATTCCCATGTGATACAACTTCAGATGACGGAGTCATTTTATGTAATTTGAAGTCAATTGCTGCAGTTCTACCTTTAACAACGCAAGTCTCTGTAAAAGTAAACAAACCACTGTGTACAAGTGGCATGCTGTGTTCAAAAGGCAATAGCTTTGAAGGTTTTCTAATAATGCAATGTGTGGCAAGTGTTTAACTATGGGAATTGTGCAATGTTTAAAAAGTTTCCAAATTAAATCCAAAAATGGCCATAAGGGCCATAAGGGGCTTGGCCCCGGAATCGCTGCATGCAGCTATATTTAGCTTTCTTTTCTGAATTGGAGATGAGGTTGGATTTCCAGTTCCTATGCAAACTGAAGGCTTGGAGGGAGAAAATATGAAGTAGGAGCAGCATAGCAGCACATGCACATTCCTTATTGATCCAGCACAGATCATCAGCATTTAAGTCCACCTCTCTCCAGCTAATTCCCTCTGCGGTGACCACTCCGCCCATGCCTCTCAGAGCAATTTAAGTTTTTGTGTCAGGTCTATTTTAAAGCACGGGCCACTGAGACCACTGCACTTTAACTAAAGGGGGAAGGGAAGAGGTGTGCTAGCAGTGGCTGGGGTCGCCCCTCTCTTCTGCAGCCTACCATTGCAGATTAGTAGTGTAGGTAACAGCAGATTTCTATGTATTTAATTTTAGGGCTGGGCAGTATAGCTAAGAAATTAAATCTTTTGTCGTTAAATTCTATTCTCTGAATTAAGTAGATTCAAAAATATATTTAATGTAAGAACTAAAAGTAAAAATCTGGTTTATTTAATGCTTTATGCATTTCCACACACTATTTTACTTTATTTTATTGAAACTTAACAACCAACAATTGTTGCATAATTTTATGTCGCCAGAAAAATCACTGCAAATATATTGTGAATATTTAATATATCTTCCTGCCCTATTTCAACTTTGTTACTGTTAAACCAGTATAACACTTTACTAAAACGGAAATACAGTGTACGTATATGTGTGTGTATGGGGTGATATGTTGGATAATCACGAGAAATTTGTCAGAGGTCAGACAGATTTGGCAGAGGAACCAAAGCTCAGGAAGCCAGACAGGTTTACGAGAAGCTGCAAAACCACGTGAATGAAAAAAACCCCACAATGCCTTTGCTTTAGCGGTAAAGACGCCCCTTTGCTGCTCAGTTAAAAGTCTGTCACTCTACATTCTGAAACTTCAAACAAAATAGCTAAGCTCTGACTAAATGTGTTATGGATGTGTTTACTGATACTAAGCCCTTTAATTATGTTTTCACAAACTTTGACACAGATTTTTCAGCTGAAAATGCTGATTAGGAACAGGTGACCAGGAGGATGCAAATATTGCAACTGTGTAGATCAGTGGTTCCCAACCCTGGTCCTGGAGGCACCCCAACACTGCACGTTTTGCATGTCTCCTTAATCAAACACACCTGATTCAGGTAATCAGCTCATTAGTAGAGACTCCAAGACCTGAAACTGGTGTGTCAGAGAAAGGAGACATGCAAAATGTGCAGTGTTGGGGTGCCTCCAGGACCAGGGTTGGGAACCACTGGTGTAGATGATGTATATTTTCTCAAAACAGTAGTATTAGTATTTTTCCTAGCATTACATTCTAACATGGATTCCACTGAACATTATTTTTGTGGTTTTAAAAAATGGATGAGTGAAGAGTCAACTCTGTCCCCTCTTTTCTCCTTGATTGCCTTTTACACAACTCATGACCTCTCACCCCCATAGCTCAGATCAATCAGTAAATAAACCTGAGTGGTATCATTTATCTTGTAATATTATGTAATATGGGAAAGGATTTCAGAATAGGCTAATAGTTGTGTTTCATGAATATGTTTGAAAGCCTATGGGCATTTTAATACCCGATTTCTTTCCTTTTCTGAATTCTGAACAAACTGAATGGCAGAAATAGCCACAATTTCTCTTGCTCCATCATAAAGGTACAACAGTACCAGAGTTTGACTGTGTCCATCCGTTTATATGCAAGTGGTGTGGACTAGGGCAGTTTCTCATGGGCTGAGCTGTCTTATCCTCATTGGATCACTGACACAGGATCTCCCCGTGCAGAAATAGCCAGAGCCCAAGGGCAATTTGCTAGACTACGGGTGCTTCCGTCAGCCTGTGTTTTGGAAAGTTGGCCTAGTGTTTACAAGAGCCTCAGCGTTCTATTAAAGGTCTCTCACTTCCTATCAGGTGTGTGAGGCCTAGTGATGGGGGTAATGGTGTAAAATTGATGTACAGTTCAGTCTTTTGACAGCTGGCCCCAGCATTTGACTGTGCTGATGGGCTTTAGGGCTTCTTCTAGGTGAACTGGATTATGTTCTGTGCATCTTGATTGCATTGATATTGCTCTAAAACTGGCATTCGAGAGTAGTACGTTCCCTTGTGACCTCATTTTTTGTTCAGAAGAGTTTATCTGGTCATGTCTTTCAGCACTTTTTCTGTTCATCTCTGAGTCAGAGTACATTTGTCACACTCAGAAAAATAAAGAGAGCTACAAGACAGCGAATCTGCTTGGTTGGGGGCCCGAGTGAATGACAGGCATTGTTGTGTGGCTGTTTTTAGCCAGAGAAAAATGGCAAAGTGGGCTCCCTGAGGTGAAGCGCTACCACCTGGATGCGCAGGGAGGAGAACACACGCTCACATTACTTATCCACAAACTCAGCTGGTACTGAAGCAGCACATCTCTCTAGAGCTCGAATCCAAAAAGGTCCCAAAAGCAGCCAAAGTCTTAGGGCAGACTTGCCTGCCAAGGAAAATGTGCCTTATGAAATGGAAAGTCTGAAGTCATTCACAGTATGGCAGCAAAGATTAACCAAGAAATACAGTCCGCACCGAAGTATGGGAAGCGTTGGGGTTAGAATCCACGATATCCACCAAGAAGAGATGTGAATGTGGGTGTGATTGTATGTTATGATGTTTTCTGAAATTCATTC